ATGCCAATGCCAAAGGGCACAGCTCCAGTGCCCTTCAGAGCCGCGGCGGGCCTCGTGACGTCATCTCTGGACTTGTCTGCGGTCACCAGGATCAAGAACTGAGGGACGCCTTCGGCCACCCTGCTCCCACTCTGGCTGGTGAACACGTTGCGTACACGCTAATTAAGGGCAGCCCCCGCGTTGTGCTTCATCTCTGGACTTGTCTGCGGTCACCAGGATCAAGAACTGAGGGACGCCTTCGGCCACCCTGCTCCCACTCTGGCTGGTGAACACGTTGCGTACAAGATAATTAAGGGCAGCCCCCGTGTTGAGCGGTGAGCCCCCCATGGGAGACAAGCGCCGGACTGCATTGATCACAGCGGTCTTGTCTGGGTGGACATTCAGGAGGAACTCCACTTTGGGAACATTGCTATATTGGGCTACAGCAACCCGAATGTCATCAGGGCCTACGTCCAGGCTTCGAACGATGTTTTCCACAAAGGACACCAGTGAAGGGAAACTACGTCTGATGCCATCCGAACCGTCCAGCAGAAACACAACATCCTTCTTCTGAACTTCAACCACTGTTTGAGAAATGGGGGAGAAAGAGAAACGAGACTGGTTTCAATGTCGAATCTTACCGGTTTATTTAAAACCTGCTTTTTAAAAAAAAAACTGGATTCATTTCATGTGGAATGAGGACAAAGGAGGTCGGTGAGGGAAGGCAGAAAACCAAAGAGAAGAAATAACACCAAAGATGTACAGGAAGAACTCAGTTTTTTTCAGGATCAGCACATTTTGAGTCAAGAGGTTTTCCACCAGGGAACTCTTAATGATAGCCCTGGTATGTGGGAACTGTTGATGGTTGAGGGAATCAGAGGATCTGGCTGCATGAGAGACCTCAAAGGCTAATGGATCCAGATGGCTCCCTGATGGCCTTCACTTTGGGGCGGGGGATCCTGACATTACGGCAGCATTGAACTTTGGAATACAGAGATGATTGTGTAGGTGACACCAGAGCATCAGGGTGCATGCTCAACTTTAGCTGAGTCAATTCTCTAACTTACTGGGGGGCGGGGACAATGGCTAAAATGCAAGTGGAGGGAAATGTAGCATGAGGATGATTCAGCATGGGCTCATTTAGTGCTCACTACTATAGCGGTGATTACTTCTACCCCACTCTTGCATCTGAGACCCAGATCCTTAAGACAAGGCATCTGAATACTTGGCAGCCCGCTACGGCTTATTCAAAAATAAAACTATACATATCCCCTTCAACTTGGATGCCATTTTATTTACGGGGCTAATACAGGATGTTCTCAGGGATTTCAGGGATCTGCCTAGTCTCACCCTATTCCCCAGATGAGATTTCAATTTGCAGCCTTAGAACTCTGGCAGACTACATGGAGTTTACAGTCTGCCACCTGTACACTTTACCTTTCCCCTTCTTGGCTACTTACACTTTGCTATGGGAACTGGCTGGGTTTGAGAGACCACTGCTGCACTGAAAGAGGAAGTGGATATGGCTGTCTTCAAGGAGGTGGCTATGGAGTCACTCCTAAAGATCTTGTTGAACCTCAAAGGTTCTGTCAATTATTGGCCAGTTCCAGAGCATGATGCTTGAAGATGACTGCTCTCAGGGGTCATTTCGTAGAAAAAGAGGTGCAGGAGCTCATTAGCATAACTCATTAGCATAACTTATTTGCAGATGCCAACACCCCTGACATCACTGGAGGTTTGTCAGAAGGCAACACCCACCACTCAGGCTCCACTGAACTGTTTTGGATTGCTAGCTATTGGGGGAGAGGGGAAACGTGCAGATCTGCCCTGGCAGAGGAGGGAGAGCTTGTACCTGAATAAAACTTGGTCTTACAGGTGCCACTGGACTGTTTTGGACCGGGGCGGGGGGCTCTGCAACTTACCTGGCTGCTTCTTGCTCTGACTGCTGGGAGCAGGGGGTGGGGCTTGTTGCATGTGCCCGCCCCCTGGGCTCTTTACTGCCGGAGCTCCGCTCCTGTGCGCTCCTGCAGGAAATGACCCGACTACTCTACCCAACAGCATTTAGGCAAGGTTCCATCTTGATTCCCATGTCATTTAACATCTACAAAACACCGCTCTGAATGGTCATTTGGGGATGTGGAGAGAAATGGCATCAAAGAGTCAGCATTTTTTTTTGTGCTGACTCTTGGAAGGGAACAGACCTGATCGCTGCTCTGAAAGCTGGCAGTCATCTTGGGGGGTGGCATGTGACCCAGCTTGCAGGCTTCAAGGAGCCTGAGAAAATGGGGACATCTTTAGAACATTTTGCAACTTTCTAAGTTTGTAGGTACCTACACTGATTGTGACATCTAGTTAGAGTAAGTTTTAGAACCAGGGAAGGAAGGATGCACTTATAACCAGCTTCTCTTTGTTCTTCCATGTGCTCATCTGTTGTTGTGATTAAGTGTGCTTGAACTTACTTTCTTTTTAATAAATCCTTTTTAATATTAGTTTTTTATTGTGGTATAGTCTCTGTACACCCCATAGTCCTCCAACTGCTTGGACATGCTATTAATTTGCCAGAGGGGCCCCAGATTGGGAGGTAAGCAGTCAAGGCGCCCGTAGCAGGGGAAATCCAAAGTTGCATTAGGTCCCCATGGTAGCCAGGCTCTGGTTAGCAGGAGACCTTGAGGCCAGGCCTCAAAACTAGGAAGGAGGATTGAGAGTAGTTCCTCTCATTCAGGACCCCTAAACTGAACAGATAGTGGCAGTGTGCCCTAGTGGCAGGAAGTGGAATAGCACCCTCCAGAAACCGGAAGGGACAGGCAGAACAGTCTATAAGTCAGAGCAGGCCTGTTCCGTCACAGGACACAATGTTATTTCTCCTTTTGGTCTTATTTTCGGGGGATGTCTTACTTTCGGGGAAACACGGTGGTGGCAGTGTGCCCTAGTGGCAGGAAGTGGAATAGCACCCTCCAGAAACCAGAAGGGACAGGCAGAACAGTCTGTAAGTCAGAGCAGGTCTGTTCCGTCACAGGACACAATGCTATTTCTCCTTTCCTGTGGACTCCAGTGAGGCACTAGACACCCTAAGTTTTTGGGATTCGTAATAGATTGAGTGAAACTAATTAACTGAAACTCAGTCCAAACATGCTGGAGTGGCAATTATGTGGGTAAGTAGTTCAGATGACCACTTATCAACCCCCTCTGAAGGATCAGGTCCACACTAAAAACAGAGACTCAGGCGGCATTGAACCACTATCTACAATCTTTTAATGGAATGCCAGCTGAATAAATATAACCTTGCAGCAGTTTGCTGGGCCCTGGTAGAATCAAGAGCAGACTACTGCAGCGTACTCTATGAAAGTCTCTTCAGAAACCTCAGCTAATCCAGAACTCAGCATCTGGGCATGTTTCTTGATGCAACCCCCCCCCCTTTAAAAACACTGGCTCCCAGTTTGTTTCTAGGCACCATCTGAAGAGCTGGTTTTGATCTATAATGCTCTAATGGTCTAGGACTGGGGAACTGCCTGCCGTCACGCGGTACCAGTTGACCCAATTCATTCATTTGACCATGTGAATCCATACCACAATAACCTGGAGGCTAGACTACTGTAACATGCTGTTCATGGGTCTTCCTTCAGACATCTCCAGCTGGTACAGAATGCTGCAGCTCAGTGATTATCAGGAGCTAGGATGGGTATGGATATTACACCTGGTCAGCAGTTTGCAGCAGTTCAAGGGGATGGTTATTATTACCTACAAAGCCCTTCATTATTCATTATTTGTAGGTTATTATTACCTACAAAGACCCACATAGATGCAGGGCCACCCCTCTCGAAATGCTTTGCGGGGACACTTTTGCTCATTCGAGCAAACCCTTCTGAAGGTGCCACCCTGCAAAGGTGTAAGAACAGTAGCAGCCCATACCTGAACACTCTCCGTTGATTTGATTTATATACCGCCCTCCCCGGACAGGCTGAGGGCGGTGTACAACAATTAAAATAATATTATCATATAAGGGCCCAATGAAAGCCTTGTTGCAAAGTACAAAGTACAAATGACCTGAACACAAAGGCCAATACAAGTGACCTAACGCATTTCCGCCTAAAAGTAAGGAGCCCCCATCCCTAACCCAAGAGACACCAATGCTACCCAGCAAGGCATAGTTGTTTCCTTGTACCCCTTTCTGCTAGATGGCTCCTGCAACGTGTTACAGTTCCACATTTATATCCTGTACATTTAAAGTATTTTGTCACAAGGGTTCCCCTAGATCACAGGCTTGAATGGTTCCGTGCTGTGGGACAGGAACAACTGGAAAATGACATCTCCCGGGCATCCTTGAGACCAGCCCTACCACCCGCCAGTTTCCCCTGCTTCCTGTTGCCCTCTCCAGAGTCTCCCTTAGAAGCATTCCAGACAGTCCACTTTGAGATTTTACCAAAGTAGATGAAACCGCCACTTGTGGCTTCCAATAAGCAGAGGATGGACAGCATTTCATACCCAATGTAACTTGACTGCACACATTTCAAACACGCAAACGAGAAACTGTCAGATATACCTCTTGGTGCGAGTTCAACGGTTTTCAGTAGGTTGACTATTTTAGGCCGAATGTCCCCAATTCTAACCAGGTCATCGGCTTGTAGGATGAAATTAGGGTCATAAACGATCTTTTCTAATTCAGCAGCATCTGCACTCCTGGCTCTGATGACGAAAGGGACGACGTTCGCTCGTTTCAGGGCGTTGGCTGCCGATTCCACATTGTCGCTTGACCTTCCGGCAGCCAGGAGAACAAGGAATTGTGGCACTCCTTCCTCAATCCTGCTCCCAGCGTTCCTCACGAAGATGTCCCTCAGGGCGTATTCTAACGCAGCACCGATGTTGAGGAGTCGCCCTGACTTTACCCTCATTTTTCTCACTTTCTGAAGGATGTTTTCCTTAGACGGGATCTCTTCAAAGTTGAACTCGAGTTGTGCGTTGTCACTGAATTGTGCCACAGCCACACGGGTGCCTTCTGGCTTCACGTCCAGGTCAGAAATAACACGGAGCAGAAATTCTCGAACGGCAGGAAACTGACCTCCAAGGTATGCTGAGCCATCGGTCAAGAATAAGATATCTTTCTTGCTTTCTGGAGTTTAGAGAGATGACAGTTTTAATAAGATAGATCCAGGCGGTCAGCCATGTTGGTCTGAAGCAGGAGAACAAATTGAGAGTCCAGTGGGGCCCCTTTAAGACCAACAAAGGTTTATTCAAGGTATGAGCTTTCGTGTGCAAGGCATACTTTTTCAAATACACTGGAATGGTAGGTGAGGTTCTAAACTTACAGACAGGGATCCCTGTCATACATTGAATAAACCTTTGTTAGTCTTAAAGGCGCCACTGAACTCTAAATTTGTTCTAGTGTTTTAATAAGTCATAAAATAATTGCCCTAACATATGGATGCGGCAGTGGAAAGACAATTTAGAACAGATGCAAATATACATAAGGGAGATGACAAAATGGAAAAATTGGAACATCTACAGTTAAGCATTCCGTGGCACAAAACCAGGGGATCACAGGGCCATCTACAGAGCTCAACGAGTTTTCGTTTATTTATTAATTACCAGTAAGAATATCTGTGAGCACGGCTTTACCCATGAAATCGGAAGTGGCACCTGGTATTTTTGGCCACTGTGTGACAGAGGGTTGGACTGGATGGGCCTTTGGCCTGATCCAACATTGGCATCTCTTATGTTCTTGTGTTCTTATGGAAGCACATCTTGAATGCTCAATTAGCCCTTATCATCATCTAGCATCTCTGCCTCCTTGCAAAAAGAGATAAGGATTCTGTCCTATTCAGTGCTGGCCCGAAGGTACAGCTTCTTCTATTACAATATTGCTGTTGTCAATAAAACAGCAGCAGCAGCTGAATCTAAATACGGTTCAGGGCTTCTAAGAAGAAGAAGAAGAAGAAGAGAAGAGATTGGATTTATGCCCCGCCCTTCACTCGGAGTCTCAGAGCGGCTTACAAACTCCTTTCCCTTCCCCTCCCCACAACAGACACCCTGTGAGGTGGGTGGGGCTGAGAGAACTCTGACACAAACTGCTCTTTTTCAAGGACAGCTGTGCCAGACCTTGTGACTGACCCAAGGTCACATCAGCAGGTGCAAGTGGAGGAGTGGGGAATTAAACCTGGTTTTCCCAGATTAGACTCCGCACACTTAACCACTACACCAAACTGGACCAGAAGCACTTTCCCCACTGGCATTCGGTCATTCTTAACTATAATTAGAAGTAGAAAAGAGCAAGAGTCCAGGAGCACCTTAAGGACTAACAAAATGTGTGGCAGGGGAGGAGCTTAGGTGAGTCACTGCTCACTTCTGCTCATGGAAGCTCCTCCCCTGTCGCAAATTTTGTTAGTCTTTAAGGTGATACCAGACTCTTGCTCTTTTCTACTGCTACAAACAGACTAACACGGCCACCCATCTTGATGTATATTTAGAAGGGATGCCGCAAGGGATAAATCCCCCAAAGGGCTGATTCGCACATGCATAATGGCCTGCAGGTATAAATGGGCCACCACAGATCCAGCATTCCAGATGGAACTTCGGTGCCGTTTCACGTTTTCCTCGACCCAGCGTTTTTCAAGGTAGAGAATCCACCCATTCAGCTACCAGCAACTGAATGCACAATAATCAAGTGTGGTTCATTCGAGTGATGAACTGGGGCTAAGAGGCTATGTTAGGCACAGCTTTTCCCAACAGCTATACTGTCATGGTGGGAAACGTTGCACTGCATGGATGGTACTTTCTCAAGGTTTCTTTCAGAAGTCCTCTGATAGCTGGTAATAATACCTGGAAAAAATGCCTGTCTATGGATTTTTTTTTAAGTACCAAAGGGTGAGGATGAATCTGTTGTCTATCCACGTCCTGGCATGATAGTTTTTTTTAGTGAATACTTGCCATCGTAACTAATCACCAATGCTCCCTCTAAGCTGTGGAGTCTTGTGAGCCATTCTACTTGGTGAGCCACGGCCATTAAGGTTGTGAGCGAGCGATTTGGCTGCCGCATAAATTAGTTTGCTCTGGAGCCATCCCTTCCTGAGCTAAGACAAAAACGTATGAGCTGGAAGCTAAAAAACCTGTGAGCTAGCTCACACTAATTCAGCTTAGAGGGAACACGGCTCATAACCTGTCTCCCAGTTCCCACTGAGATGGGAAACCTGGGCCTCTTAGCCTGCACCACCTCAGACTAGAGGTACAGGCTCACAACTGTACAAAAGCCTTCCTTGTGAATAAAGACTAGATTGGAGGAGGCTAGATTAGAACCATTTTATTGACATCTAGATGCCCAGTTGAATGCTGTGTGTGTGTGTGTGGTTAGGGTTGCTGGCACTGCCTCAGCAAATGCTGGGAGTTCGGGGAGGATGGGACGTCACTTTGGGATGGTGTTCTAGGGATCTCCCCTAATCTCTATGACAGGGGTCCCCAATGTGGTGAACAAGGCCACCATAGCACTCTCTAACTTCTTTCCTGACACGCACCAAGTGTTCTTAGAAAGTGGGTGAGGCCAGGTGGAACTTTTACCCATCGCGACTTCTGATTGGCCACCGGAGATCTGATTGGCTATGCAGATTTTTCAACAAGTGGCTTCAGCAGCAGCTGCCACCACAACACAAGTATCTTCACTGTGTCACGGACTGTAAGCTGTTGTGTGTAAGAAAACATTTTAAATGGTATGTTCGCTTTAAAAGGCCATAGAGATGTGGGGAAATTGCTGGAGTGGCAATGTGGAAGCCATTTCCTTCTCTTGCTCCTCAGTCTGTCTAAGGTGGGAAATTGGGGCCAAGGGTGAAGGTTTACCCCCCACCACCACTGGTGGGCAAATGGCAAGCTGATTTGTGGCACAGGAGCCCGACAGATGCTCTAGATGCAGGTTCATGTCTGTACAAAGAAGCATCTCGTTTTTCAATATTTCAGTCCTCGGCGAAGAAGCCGTTATTAAGCAAGCTCCTTTAAGAACACACATAGGCTTGTACTGTGCAATTGCAGTGACCCTTTATCCTTTCTCTTCTGAACAGCAGCTCCTAAGCTGGGGGTGGGACTCATACAGGACTTTGCAACATGATGGGGGAATCTGCTGTTTGAAGGGAGGGGGAGAGAAGACAAGGGCCCACCATTTGCATAATACATGAATAGTTCAGAACCATTATGGGGCATAACATTATTGCGGTATTGATGGGTTATTCCGAAGACAACCCTAGTATGCTTTCAGAGTTTGTGGACCTCCGATTGCGTTTGTGCAGGCAGCAGGGCTCTCAGAGGAACAGTACAAATGGACAAGATGGAACTGTGGCCAGATGGGGAGACAGGGATCCATGAAGGGCACAGTCTACCTCCCTGGATCCTGACCTTCAGTGCATGCTTGTTTTCGAAATACCAAAAAGCAAGACGGCTGATTTTTTTAAAGCTGTGGTTTAAGAGAGGAACATCTGTATATATCACATGTAAAACGTGCCTATTTCCACAACTGCAGGTCCCCAGGGTGATCATACGCTGAAAACAAACACCAGCACAATAACTATGTATGACTAAGGTGACCAACCTCCACGTGGGCCCTGGAGATCTCCTTGAATTGCAAGTGATTTCCAGACTACAGAGATTGGTTCCTCTGGAGAAAATGGCTGCTTTGGAGGGTGGACTCCATGGCATTGTACCCGGCTGAGTTCCTTTTCCTCCACAAACCTAACCCCCCCTGGCTCCACGCCCAAACATCCGAGGGATTTCCCAACCCAGAAGTGGCAACCCTCTGTATGGCTGAGTACATTTTCCTTCACAGCCATGTAAGTAAAATTACATGTCTGGCCCATTCATAGAGAGAATACCATGGAAGGATATTGGAGGTACTGATGCCCATATTGGAGAACATAAGAACATAAGAGATGCCAATGTTGGATCAGGCCAAAGGCCCATCCAGTCCAACACTCTGTCTCACACAGTGGCCAGAAATACCAGGTGCCATCAGGAGGTCCACCAGTGGGGCCAGGACATTAGAAGCCCTCCCACTGTTGCCCCCCCCCCCAAGCACCAAGAATACAGAGCATCACTTGCCCCAGAGCCCCTATCTATACCTTGTGGCTAATAGCCACTGATGGACCTCTGCTCCATATGCTTATCTAATTCCCTTTTGAAGCCGTCCATGCGAGTGCCCTCGATATTGGCGGTGCTGACGCCCACCACATGGCCACAGACGTGTGCAATACACATCAGTTTCTTCAGTGAAAATGCCTTCCCCGTAGAGATTTTCCCTCACAGTTTTTCGAACGTACAACTTTGAGGTAAAACAAATCAATCAAGAAAGGAAGAGATTACCTGCAGACGGGATGGTGACTTCTTCCACGTCACCACTAACGTATGTCATTAGCGGCCTAATCATGTCTTGCGGTATAGCTGCCAGAGAACTGAAATCATCCTTAAAGTAATTGCACTAGGCCGACTCGTACATCGTCAATTCCGACCTCAAGGAACCTAACTAGGCTCACAACGAGGTCGCGGACAAATGGGAAGTTGGCATTTCCAACGTTGGCTGATCCATCCAAAAGAAAGATGATATCCCTTTTGTTTGCCAGAACTGCAGTAGAGCACAGAAAATAACATGAGGCATCACAGGAAAAAACACACAAGTACTTATCATGTGTGCATACAACTTTTGCTGTACACACATGTGTAACACCATTAGAGAGAAGAGGAAAGAGGCCAGGGCATCGGAAAAGAGAAGGAAAGGAGAACTGAGAAGAGCGGGAAAGAACTTATCGGGATGAACAGTCCCCCAAGTATTCCCAGTTGCATGTTGGCTTTACATTAAACTCCCCTGGAACTCATTTCGGTGAGAACAGCATTTTGTCCTGTCTACAGCTAACAAAGAGCCTTGCTCTAAAGCCAGCAAACTTCAGTACGATTTACCAGCAAACTTCAGTACGATTGGCTTTTATACTGAATATGCTAGTTCTTGGTTTAGGGTCAATCTCAGGCATCCAAAAAGATGATTCATTGTTGGGTCTTCCCAAAGGCCTCTGAGTCCAGTACTCCCTGGATAACATCTCTGGCTCGGTGCTAACTCCTTAGAAGGCCCTGGGGGATTTCAGGCCTTTCCAGAAGGCCCTGGAGGATTTCAGGGCCTATCTACTTAAATTCCAAAGGAAACTGCCAATGGTTTCAGACTTCTGTCCTTGCTATGTCCTTCCCGGATGAACTAGGCCTTCCCCTCTCCCACCCAAATGACTCTGTGAGGCAGGGCTGTCCCAATCACTGCTGACAGGTTTGACGGCCTTTGTTCCTCAATATATGCCCAATAATGATGCCATCCAGGTCCAGAATTAAGACTGCTTTGTCTGATTAACTGGGGGCTGATTGTAAGAAGCTCACCCATCCCAAGCTTTCCTTCAGTTCGCCTAGGGCTGCCAAATCTCCCCGGGGGGCAGAAATCCCCCCGCCCCAGAGGCCCGTTCCCAGACGCCGGGGAATCGGGCCCCGGGGGGAACCCCGCCCCAGCGTGCACGTCACAGGGAAGTGACGTCATGATGCCGGGCACGCTGGGGGTGGGGCCACGGCCATACAAAGGAAAACTCTAAGAGTCCCCCGCCGGAGAGGTGAGTAACATTTGGCAACCCTAAGTTCGCCTCAATTAAAATAGATTTTAAAAAATGGCTGAATGGGAGTGAAAATGCAGAACCTCCAAAGAATGAATGAGGACATTTAAAAAAAAAAAACACCACGATGAAGTACTGATGCAAAGTGTTAACCTTGAAACTGTTTACAGCAGGCAAGTGATCATGTGTTTTGAGTTGGGTAACAGGGAAGCATGAACCACCTCCAAACAAATTGCAAGGGGGTTGGGATTTTAAGGGGAAAACTGAAAAAAAGAGCAGGGCATTTTTCCTGGGGGAACGCGCCAGACGTGCGTATGCTGGAAAACCGGAGGCCATGGGTCCCTTTGGGGTTTATGTGCATAGTAAGGAAGGTGTTCTCCCTCACTCGCTGTTCATTTCTGTGTGAAATGATTCTCCACACAGAATTTCTGTGTTGGATTCTGTTTGGAAGCCATAAGATCTCTTCATGTAGGGTGTTACACCAAAGAGGCTGAGGCACCCTCAGGGTTGCGGTTTAGAGGACTGAGGCTTGAACTCCCAAAGAACACATTTTTACCTGGAAAATGCAGCTCTTCAAAAGATGGTTCATTGCTTTTTGGCATGCAAAAACAATATATTGCTGTACAAGTTCATATCCTTACTAATACAATAAAGATTTTTAATATTATATTTGTTTCTGTTTCAACAGATGAACTTCATTCCGAGACCGAAGTCCCAACAAGATAAGGACGAACTTTCTTGAGTTGACTGTCCGTTTCGACCTTCGTCTTTGTCAAACGTCAGTTTAAAGAGTTTTTTCTTCAGTTCTACGTTTCCAACAATAAGTGCATGAATTCAAAGATGGCTATAGGTAGCTCTCACATTCACCAATTTATTTCCGGATAATAATTGGTGAATGTGAGAGCTACCTATAGCCATCTTTGAATTCATGCACTTATTGTTGGAAATGTAGAACTGAAGAAAAAACTCTTTAAACTGACGTTTGACAAAGACGAAGGTCGAAACGGACAGTCAACTCGAGAAAGTTCGTCCTTATCTTGTTGGGACTTCGGTCTCGGAATGAAGTTCATCTGTTGAAACAGAAACAAATATAATATTAAAAATCTTTATTGTATTAGTAAGGATATGAACTTGTACAGCAATATATTGTTTTTGCTCCCAGACGCCGGGGAATCGGGCCCCGGGGGGAACCCCGCCCCAGCGTGCACGTCACAGGGAAGGGACGTCATGATGCCGGGCACGCTGGGGGTGGGGCCACGGCCATACAAAGGAAAACTCTAAGAGTCCCCCGCCGGAGAGGTGAGTAACATTTGGCAACCCTAAGTTCGCCTCAATTAAAATAGATTTTAAAAAATGGCTGAATGGGAGGGAAAATGCAGAACCTCCAAAGAATGAATGAGGACATTTAAAAAAAAAAAACACCACGATGAAGTACTGATGCAAAGTGTTAACCTTGAAACTGTTTACAGCAGGCAAGTGATCATGTGTTTTGAGTTGGGTAACAGGGAAGCATGAACCACCTCCAAACAAATTGCAAGGGGGTTGGGATTTTAAGGGGAAAACTGAAAAAAGAGCAGGGCATTTTTCCTGGGGGAACGCGCCAGAACAGAGTTCCGGAACCTCTTTGACAAAATTCTTTTTAAAATGTTTAAACGTTTGTGAGTTTCAAGTATACAGACTGAAAACTGCGTTTCCCCTCGAGAGTTCCGGCATCTCTTTTTTTAAAAAAAAGCCCTGAAAAAGAGGTTCATAAAATTGTGCCGTCAAGCTGGGGCAGACCGAAATCACACTAATGTTGATTGTGAGTTAAATTGCGTCACACAAAAAACGCTGCCCACAATTCTTCCACAAACATGTTCCAAAAAGCAATGATAACACTGTACTTACAAGGACCCAGCAATTAAATAGCATGCAAAAACAATATATTGCTGTACAAGTTCATATCCTTACTAATACAATAAAGATTTTTAATATTATATTTGTTTCTGTTTCAACAGATGAACTTCATTCCGAGACCGAAGTCCCAACAAGATAAGGACGAACTTTCTTGAGTTGACTGTCCGTTTCGACCTTCGTCTTTGTCAAACGTCAGTTTAAAGAGTTTTTTCTTCAGTTCTACGTTTCCAACAATAAGTGCATGAATTCAAAGATGGCTATAGGTAGCTCTCACATTCACCAATTTATTTCCGGATAATAATTGGTGAATGTGAGAGCTACCTATAGCCATCTTTGAATTCATGCACTTATTGTTGGAAACGTAGAACTGAAGAAAAAACTCTTTTTTTAAAAAAAAAAAGCCCTGAAAAAGAGGTTCATAAAATTGTGCTGTCAAGCTGGGGCAGACATCACACTAATGCTGATTGTGAGTTAAATCGCGTCACACAAAAACCGCTGCCCACAATTCTTCCACAAACATGTTCCAAAAAGCAATGAACCATCTTTTGAAGAGCTGCATTTCCCAGGTAAAAATGTGTTCTTTGGGAGTTCAAGCCTCAGTCCTCTAAACCGCAACCCTGAGGGTGCCTCAGCCTCTTTGGTGTAACACCCTACATGAAGAGATCTTATGGCTTCCAAACAGAATCCAACACAGAAATTCTGTGTGGAGAATCATTTCACACAGAAATGAACAGCGAGTGAGGGAGAACACCTTCCTTACTATGCACATAAACCCCAAAGGGACCCATGGCCTCCGGTTTTCCAGCATGCGCACGGAGCTCAGGTGCCAGTAGCGCAGGCCTGATCCTCCCTTAGTGCATTCACTTCTACACACTATGAACATGTAACTGGAGTCAAAGTTAAGTGCTTCTGAGTCCAATAAAAACCAATTGCACTTGAACACACAACTCTATGATGGACTGTGGCCATCAAGCCCTGGAGAATATGAGTATCAGATCTCACTATGTAGAAGTGCATTTACAAGGAACATTCACCATATAAATATGATGCAGTAAACACATTTCATTATAGTTTGACAATATGAATGACCTTGGGGCATTCGTTTATGCTGATCTCTATGGCCATTTAGTAAGTAATGTTTTGAAATAGTTATAAGTGGCAGAAAATTGTACTTGCTTAATCGTTTTGTTTTGCTCATACTTACTAATACCCACATGTAATAATCCTTACAAGGAAAGAAAAGAGAGAGAGAGAGAGAGAGAGAGAGAGAGAGAGAGAGAGAGAGAAGTACACATTTCTTTGCAGGTATAAGAACACTGAAGACCATTTTTAATTTATATTTAAAAATAAAAATGCCAGAGCTTCTATACACCATGCAAGACTATATTAGTAGGACACACACATTTTGAAAAAGCTTGTTAAGTGAAAGATTTGTGTCCCGTGATATTCATCTTAATTCAGGATAATTAGGAGCGACTTTAAAAGCTGGCAGTTTATCAGTAACTGAAAAGACTATGTTAAAAATTGGCCTAACAGAAGATGAGAACTAATGCATTTTGCTATCTTCCTCGCAGAGGAAACAGAACTTTTTAAAGGAATGGTTCAGTGACAAGCTTGTGACTGTGCCCGCACATCGCCATGATATTGCTGTCTCAATCCTCTGCAACCGGATCTGTCCAGGGTAGGGGAGACAATCCAGTTGCTACCTGCCACACAGCTGCGACTGCAGTTACTCTGGTCATGCAGCAGTCTGACAGCTACCTTCCTCGTGGACTTGGGTAGCATCTACACAGTGAGGAGTCTTCATTTTGCATTCACTGCCACTACGAACAGAAAGGCATTGACAACGGCAATGAAGCATCCACACAGGTGCCTGGGGTACACTGTCAGCCGTCTGAACCCAGCAACTCTAAACAATAACGATTTCTGAGGCAATTAATAAAACTAATTCCGATCAGACTGCTATTTAATTGGAGTTCTTCAAAACTATCATTATATAGGTCTGTCATGCTAATTCGGGCATTTGCCTGACTTACACTCTGCCTCTCCCCCTTTTATTGTATTTGTAAAGGTGGCTGACGACTGTGTTTGAAGAAAGTTTTTTCAATCTTAATGAGGGGGAAGGACTTTCCACAGATGGACCTCCCCCCCCCTTGGGGGGGGGAACTGAAACTAAACAATGTGAAATGAGATTTGCCATCATTCTTGTTGAGGGGAAAGGCTCCTTATCTTTGATGTTCTTTCATTAGGGATGGGCACAGACTGAGAAAGCCCGGTTCAGTCCAGGGCTTGTGAACCAGGCACCCCAAACCGAACCCCCAAGCAAACAAGCTGCCCGAACTGAACACTTCTGAATGACATCAGAACACTGGGGGCGGGGCCTGAGACCACCCAGAAGTGGTGTGTGCACATTGGGCCAAAGACGTAAGCCAAACTGAGCTGAAAAGCTTGGTGAGTGTTCAAGGGAAGTGTTTTCCATGAACCTTGGCTCATGAACCCCGAATCAGGCAAAGTCCAAACTGAGTTTTGGCTCGGGTTCGGGTCTGTGCCCATCCCTATTCCTTATCTTATAATACTTAGAAACAGCAAATATTAATCCCCATATTTCTCTGTCAATACGTTAATATGAAACCTGTATAAAATAAACAGGTTATTTGCATTTTAATACATGATTCAGGAATCACTAGCGGCTGGAAGCCAGCAGAATTCACCAAAAATATTCCACAGGCTCAAATGATAAGATTTCGTAATACACAAATAGTAACAATAATGCACTTTTATATATCAGCCATTAGAAAGAAAGGAAGGAAGGAAGGAAGGAATATGTGTCAATTAGCAACAATATCAGTTGCCCTAATGATCATATAGGCTGTATTTGACTGGTAGCTATAATCAAACAATGTCAACAATACAATTCCCTAAAGTATTCATTGCCCCCGTCAATTTGCAATGCATTTCAGAATTTGACAGGAACATTACCTTCTGTTGTTGTCGTTTCCACAACAGTTCCAGACAGTGTCCGTATATTAGTCAGGATGTCAGGGATACGAGGCAGCATGGTAGCTGGGCGGAAATCACTGGTAGTGAATACCAGGGTTGGACTGAAGGCAACTTGTTCCAGTTCGGCACGATCTGCATTCACAGCTCCCACAGCAATGGCCAATATGCCTCTACCTTTCAATTCTTGTGCTGGTAGGGCGACATCATCTCTGGATTTACCACCAGTAACAAGGACCAGGAGGGGTAGGACACCTTCATCGATCCTGCATCCTGCGGCGCTGGTGAATAAGTTGTCTTTAACATACCTCAGTGCAGAGCCTGTATTGTGCACACTACCGCCAAGTGGTTTTAGTTTCCTGATGCTGCTAACGATGGCATTTTTGTCCTGGGGAGTGCTGAAAGAGATGTCTGTTCTTACGGTATCTGAATATTGTGCCACTGAGACTTGGATCTTATCCGCTCCAACTTCCAGTCTGTTGATGACTTTGGAAAGGAACTCACGAATTCCATTAAAAGGGGCATTGCCCTGTATTGTTGTGCCATCTATCAGGAAGACTATGTCCTTCTGATTGGCTTCAGTAACTGCAAGCAACAAGACATATATTTATATATATATAATACAGTGAGAGGGATTATTCATTCAGCATTGTCCGTCAGTGCTGCATTAACAGAGAGCTTTCAGAGGGGTGAGAACGTATTTCTGTGTTACGAAAGGCATCTTTATTATTTTCACCATCGTTCATGCCAGTCATGGTAAACCGTGTCACAACTATTGAATTTGTTTTTGCAAAGTCACTTCCATGGTATCATAAAATTCTTCTGCAATTGATTCAGATTCCTTTACCATGTCATACAGAAAGAAGAGCCCGGATGGATCACATCAAAGATCTGTCTAGTCTTGCCACAGAGCCCGGCCAGTGGCCTCTCAGGAGTCCACAAACAAGGGTGGAAAGCCACGGCCCTCACCTTCTATCCCCCCCCCCTAAAAACATGTTTCTTGTTGGACCAGATCCCGTCAGGCCTTCCTGTCTTCCGCCGTCCTCTGAAGTTTGCTCAACTTCATTTTCATCTATGACACTGTCATGTAGCATGCAGAATTATTCTGCCTCTGAACATGGAAAACCCTTAGGTTATGTTATACCGTAAGCCTCCCCACTTTGGTTTAAGAGCTGACGCTTCTCTCCACAGCCAGCCAACATTAAACATACCTCCTGGACTGCCTTCTACTACCGACACCGAACATACCTTCCGGTTTGCCTTCTCCCACCACCTTATCGAACTGGGCCTCTGTCCCTACCACTACCCCAGCATTAAACTCCCTCCTCTGCCCTTTCTCAAGCCACAAGGTCATTTCCTGCTCTACCCTCCAGCCTTGGCACATCCTCTCTTCTCACCTTGGCAGACACGGTCGTGTCTCCTCGTTCCTTCCCTTCACCCAGCCCTCCCCACCTCCTGATGTGACACACAACCTCTTCAGTTAGAACGAGAGGAGACAGATGATGGGCACATCTGCACCCCGTTCCCTTTGTGAGCAAGAACAGGTGTGGGCTCATCCAAACAACCTCTCTCTTGTGCTTACTAAAGTGCCTGACCGAGCACCAAGCTCCTGGAACAAATAAAAAATGCATTAAAGAATTTATACTAATCTTTACATATATTTTTTTAAAAAAAAACAAAACTAATTTGCCTGACAACATAATGCAGTAAAGACAACTCATAAAGATTTGTCTACAAAATAGAATGAGGCTCAGGGCCAAGATAAACTATGAACTTTCGTAACATATGAACCATTTAACTATGTACCTAGTTATCAGGTGCTGATAAGTACCACCGTTTGAGCATTGCATGAAAGCTCAGTGTGGGATAGTGTAGGTCCATAAAAGACACTGGTGAAACAGTCTTGAATAGTCCAAACTAGCTCAGGCTTCTCATAGCTTGGAAGCTACACAGGGTAGGTCCTGAATAGTACTTGGATGGGAGACCTCCAAGGAATACCAGGGTCATGAAGCAGAGGCAGGCAATGGCAAACCACCGCTGCTTCTCTCTTGCCTTGAAAACGCCATGAGGGGTTGCCCTAAGTCAGATCTAACTTCAGAGCACTTAGTTATTATTATTATCATCAAGCTCACTGGGTGGTCTGGGGTCAAGCTCTCACTTTTGGCCTAAACTACCTGATAGGATTAATTATAAAGCTAAGGGGGTGCTCATGGAAAGGCAATGTATGCTGTCCTGAACTCCATGAACAAGGATAGAAGGGTAGCCATGCCATTCTACCTGCCTGTCGTTTTCTTATCCAGTAATGTTGGGAAGTTCTGCTCACCAAAGACACTGTTTGCTTAAGTCTTGGACTTACTCTGCTATACCCTGAAGCAGCCTATCCCATTTCTGTAGTTAATATGCTGCCAAGTGAAGTGACTGCCGTCACAGCCCAAAGATACTCTGTGCGCGCTCTGAAGCATCATTTCCTCACGTCATGACATCTGCATAATGTGTACCCTGCAACCGGCATTTATGACTTATTCGGCCATTCCCTGTGACAGGCAGGCATTCACGTCAACAACAGAAAGGTACACATGAAGCTGCCTTATACTGACTCAGAACAGTGTTCCATTAAGGTCAGTACTGTCTACTTAGACAGGCAGCAACTGTCCAGGATATCCGGCAGAGGTCTTTCACATCACCTCCTGCCTGGTCCTTTCAACTGGAGATGCCAGGGATCGAACCTGGGACCTTCGGCATACCAAGCAGGTGCTTGACCACTGAGCCACGGCTCCTCCCTAGGTAGCTACCTAGGTAGCTGTGTTAGTCTATCGCAACAAAACAAAACAGAAGACCAATAGCACTTTAAGGGGCCACTGGACTTCTGCTTTATTCAGGTTAACAGACAAATGCCTCCATCCAGTAAAATCTGACAAATGCTGCCTCTAAGCTGTGGAGCCTTGTGAGCAAAAAATTCTACTTTGTGAGCTACTGGCATTAAAGTTGTGAGCGAGCGATTGGGCTACTGCCTAATTTAATTTGCTCTGGAGCCATCCTTCCTGAGCTAAGACAAAAATGTGTGAGCCGGAGGCTTAAAAACTGTGAGCTAGCTCACACTGACTCAGCTTAGTGGAAACACTGGCAAGACACTGATTTTCTTTGTCAGTGCAACAAAAATAGTTTCCCTGTATTAGACAGTTCTGGCAGGTATGCCGTTTCTGTTGCCCTGAATTAACAGAAAATGCTCTCCTGAGGCAATTCATAAGAGGCTGCTTTTGTTCCGGCAGCAAGGGGCCCAAGGCTAGCCAAGGCCCTGTACCTTGATTTGGATCTGGCCTATGGTGGTACAGGCAAGGGCTGCCAGAGTTTCTATATGACAGGAGGCCTCCCACTGGCAGCCCTAGTTGCCCACCACCACTCCACATGGGAGGGGGAAATGGCAACACTGGCTACATCCTTACGTCACCTCTGGGGAAAACCTGGAAGTGACAAAGGGTAGCACTAGGAATCACTGGAAACTCAATGATTTTTACCACAGAGTCCCAGCAATTCCTAGAGCTACCCTATGTCACCTGCAGGTTTTCCCCTGAAGTGATACAGGGGTGCAGGTGATGTCATGCACTCCTCATGTCCCCCCTTCAGCCCTCCTACCAGTTGTCAGGCTCAGCCTCATAACTTAAGTGCAGGCCCAAGACGTGATACCTCCCAGTCACCTCCCACGTTACTGGTGACTGGGCATGAGCTGATCCCCTGTGATATATCAGCACCCCGCTCACTGGGTCACTCAAAGTATACCGCCGGATAAACCTGCTCCTCAGTCAATGCAGGAAGCAGAGAAAAGCTTCCAATCTTATGGCAGCAAACATTTCCAGTTTTCCACCTTCCTCCCCTTCTCAAAGACAGGCCTTTTTAACCTGAGAAACAAGAAAACTAGTAAAGGAAGGGGTTAAACGTCATCCAAATTGGTTTGAAGTTTTGTTGGTATTGAATGCGCAAACAAAACAAAAAACAGCCACCCTAAAATGGTTTTCAAAGTGGGGAGGAGCAAGTTTTGTATAGCACTAGTTCAGGGGTGTCGAACTTATTTGTTATGAGGGCCAGATCTGACATAAATGAGACCTTGTTGGGTTGGGCCGTGGGTGTCATAAAGTGTAACGCCAGGTAGTGGAGATGTAAACTTTATAAAGGACACAAACACAAAGGGCTTTTTTACTTAAAATAAAAACATGCTTAAAACATTGGCACTCTTGCGATATTTTGTTTATTTAACTGTGTCTGATAACTGACACCTCTTGCTCTGAATTATTGCATCAAAATGTCTATGCTGTTGCAATCTTGAGTATGCTGTTCAGGTGTGTATCTATAAGCTGCAAACCTATGATGATGCAGCAGCTGCAGAACTGGAAGAAGCAGCAGAAGACAGCCAGTTCCACTGAAAGCCTGATAGAAGCCCTCTAGGGGCTTGGTCCGGCCCCCGGGCCCCATGTTTGACACCCCTGCACTAGTTCTTTCTGTGGAAACTGAAATGATGTTTGCTTTCCACACATAGCTTGTCATGGAATAACAAGCGGTATGAAAAACCAGAGCAGTCCATAGGCATTCCAGCCACTGTTAAGTAGTTCATCTTAGTTTACTCAGCTTCTTCCAGAGCTGAAATATGTGCAGGAGAGCTCTTGTGTATTAACTGCATATATAATCTGAATTTTGGGATCAGCTTTTCAGCTTAAAATTTTATAGGAAGAGGTAGTAATGTTTTGTATATTTTTCAATGCCTTTGCATTGCCTGAAGCAACAATTTCAGAAACAAAAATGGGGATTAAACATTCGCTCGCCTATGGATTGTTACTGTCTCCCTTTCAGGTGCTGCAGCCAGTTTTAAACTTTAACTGGTGTTAGAATTCTAACCAAGTTCCTCGTCTCTGAGTTATTAAAATTATTAATACCACAATTAATACATATTAATTCAGGGATCCCTGTCTCCTATCACAACCTCTAAAATAGACCTTCAGCTTTAATTACAGTCTGTTTACGGTTCACTGAAGGACTATGAGGCTTCCGAGGCACACGAGTTACACAAATGATATACTTATTACTGAAAAAGAAGCATACACTGATTTGCTCCTTCAGACTCGCCCTATTTTAAGGACACGAGAAGCCAAAAAAAATTTTTTCCCCATCCTCCCTCTTGTAAAAATGCAAACTGACCTTAGCTAAAGAACTTCATGATGTGTATATATCTCAGTACAACGCTCAGTGTGAGCATTTGCATTTCTCAAGCCATCATGGAATTTGCTCTTGAGATGTTTCTCCAGAGGGGGGTTATTTGAACCTGTCTAAGGAGGTGGCAGCTCACAGGCAACGCATGGACTTCTTTCTGACCCAGGCCTGTAACGCCAGGATTCTGTGGCTTGTGGGGCAAAAAGTTTTCTGGTGGGGCTGCCATTACCTGCCATAGTGAAGGGGGGTGGCGTGCACCCCTCTCCCTCCCCTCCTGCAAGATTTAAAGGGCCCTTCAGCTGATCAGGGGTGTGCACCACCTTCCCGCTTCTTCTCAAAAGCATTTAAAGGATCCCTCTTTAAATGGCTTTGGGAAGAAGCAGGGGGGCCTTTAAGAAGCGGGGGCTCCATTTAAACAAAGGGCTGGCCCTTTAAGGAAGGGGGCAGAGCCCCCAACAGCCCCATCATAGCTACGGGCCAGTTCTGACCTCTTGCAGATGCAGCTGTGGCCTCATGTCTAGCACGGTGTTTGTGTGAACCAGAATATCTGTGCAGAGACTGTATATTTATTTATTTAATTTATACCCTGCCTTCCCTGCAAAGCAGGCTTAGGGCGGCCCTTTGGGAAGGCAGTGGCTCTGAGTGATGTTTCCATGACCATAAACACCATGGCTGCTGCGCATGCCAGCCGTTGTAAAAGCTTAACAAGCCCTGAGCCAGCTACCTAAAGCATAAATGGCAAGCTTAACCAGCCCTGAGCCAGCTACCTAAAGCATCGATGGCATCACCCAAAATGCAGAATTCCTAACACGTGCAAGTAAAACAGGTCTGATCTGAAAAGGCTTTGAACAACGAACACGGTTTGAAGGTGAAGTCTGAGAGCATCCTTGAAAACAGCATAATCTCAGTTATTTAACGCATTGAGATATTTCACCATAGGTGGGGCAGCATGTGGATTTTGTTCTTCAAATGCCCCCCAAACCCCTTCATCACATCCTCAATTCTGCCCCCTCCTCTGCCAATCCAGGTTTCAATCGTGGAAGATTCACCAGCACGCTCTTCGCATCAAGGGCATTGCTCCCAAACACAACCTTGCTGATAGCAAATGGTTGGATGGGAGACCTCTGAGAGATCCTAGAATCATACAGTTGGAGGGTACCTCCAGGGTCATCTAGTCCAGCCCCCTGCACAATGCAGGAACTTCACAAATACCACACACACACATTCCCAGTGACCCCTGCTCTATGCCCAGGCCACAACCCCTCAAACTCTCCAGGATCCCTGTCCAAAATGGCCTGGAGAAAACTGCTTCCCGACCCCAAAGTGGCAATCAGCATTTCCCTAGGTGTGTACAAAACTGCCACAAGAAGTATACTCCATTGAATTCCAAAGGCAAGATATTAGGACAATAAATAAATTCTCAGGCTAGTCATCGGGATACCAATATAAATGAAATACTTTACAAGAGAACAAATAACTAAATCTTATATTGTTATATATATATATACACAAAAGAGTTGATTAAAAAAAAAAAACATACATACCTTCTGTAAGAACGGTTGGGGCATCTAACAAAATGAGCCTTTGGGCCACTCCCGCAATGTTTGGTAGTAAGAGTTCTTGAAGTTCGTCAAGGTTACGTGTGTCCAAGGCAATGAATACGAAGCTTCCATCAGTAGCAATGTGCTGAAGCTCTACTTGGTCAGCATTTTGGACCCCAATGCAAAATGTGAATACACTCGCTCTTTTGATGGCTAAGACTCCCTCTCTAATGTCATCGCTAGACTCGCTGCCACTTATCAACACTAAAACCTGCGGTACCCCTTCCTCTACCCTGCTGCCTCCTGACTTAGTGAAGTGGGTTTGGACCACGTACTCAAGGGCTTCCCCCATGTTAGCTTCCTCGCCACCGAGGAAGCTAAGGGCTTTCATGGCATCTAGAACATCGGCTTTGTTGGTGTGGTCGTCCAAGGAGAACACAGTTCTGGGTCGATCGCTATACGTCACCACCCCAATGTGTATCTGCTCATCTCCAACTGGGAGTCTTTCAAGAAAATTTGCAAGAAAATCACGAAAGGCTGCAAAAGTGACAGCGCCGACGTTGTTTGATCCATCAATAAGGAAAATAATGTCAGCGGATTCTTGTGCTTAAAAAAAGAGAGAAAGGCACAGGTGAAAGCATTAGACAAAGTGATTCCCATGCAAGTCGAACAGTGTTCTGACATGTTTCTTTGACGACAGACAAGAAACACGACTATGGAGGAATGAAACAGGACCGCCAAGGACAATGAAACCTGCCTGCTAGTTCTGCATTCTGATTGAATATGAATGATTCGCTCATAAATATTAAATCACACAACCACATTGTACTCTAAAGGATTCCCATTCAAGACTCTACCTGGGGCTTCTTCTCACATTGTGTTTCACTAGCACCGGAGGGTTACTCCGTGCACTTTAAAAGGCAACATCATGAAATGTCTCCTGGCCGCTTCTGACATTCAGTCTCTGCCACCAGGATTTCGGAACTCACTTTCTTTTGTGAGCTAATATGTGCCTAATAACTTCTCATCCAGGTATTTCTGTGCACACACAGGCTCAGGGTGGAATGCCCACCAAAACCTGCAAAGTGTGCCAAAAACAAAGGGAAAATGTCTTTTACAAGACAAGGAAGATGGGAGATATTTATACCATTTTGGTGGTAATAACTTGTTCCAGGTGACGGGGGAGGGGGCTTTAACCAGTTTTAAAATAACAGTCAAGGTATATGGCTCTTTAAGTATATTTAGCAGACTGTAATATTGGGATGTCTAGGCAGACATATTTTTGAAAAATATAATGCTAAAAGACAAACTACCCTAGCCTGAAGAAGTGTGCATACACACAAAAACTTATACCTTGAATAAAACTTTGTTGGCCTTAAAGGTGCCACTGGACTCAAAATTTTGTTCTGCCCTTGCCTGAATGGCCCAGGCTAGCCCAATTTCATCAGCTCTCAGAAGTAGGGGTGTCAAATTAAAAAAATTCGGCCCAATTCGGATTCGGCCAAATAGGGCGGAATCTGATTCGGTTGGCCGAATGACCCCAGAATGCCACTTTCGGCGGGCCTTCCCTGGCTGGCCCAAAAATGCCGCCGAATTTCAGCGGCGGCTTTCAGCAGCAGGCCAAATCAGATTAGAGAATCTGATTCGGCCCGCAGCTACCCGAAAGGGGATTGAATGGGCTATTTTCGGGGGTGCATTCAGTTCGGACAAACCGAATGTACATTTCTACTCAGAAGCTACGCAGAGCTAGCCCCGGTTCGTAGTACTTGGATGGGAGACCTCCAAGGAATACCAGGATCATTACGCGGAGGCAGGCAATGGCAAACCACCTCTGAATGTCTCTTGCCTCGAAAGCCCTCTGGGGTCACCGTAAGACATCTGTGCTTGACGGCACTTTCTACCACCAGCAGCCAGGCTGGGGGGGGGAGTGCTGGCCACAACAGATTGCAGGAAGGGTTCGGCACCCGTCACATGTGCAAAGTGTTCATTGCAAACGGCAGACCACCCCTCCCCACTTTATATATGAGGGATGCAGATCAGTAGCTAATGTAGGTTGGCTGCCCCTTTGCCATCTTTGGCCCTGAGAACCACCGCTTTAAATGCTGTAGATGGAGCGGGCACCTAAACCTTTGAACCCAAACTCCCGTGAGCGGCTGGTAATGCCTGCTGCTCTGAGACTTGATGGCACCTTACTCACACATCCAAAAGGCAAACTGCGGGAGATTCTAGAACCTCATCTTATACAAATATGCTTGTAGATTTGATTTATGGGAATGCTGTAAAACTGCACTTGCATCCAAAATACTTTTTTCAGATTTTACTCTTCATATACAACTACTGGATATTCAATCACGTAATGCAGAATCATGTTAAAAACAGGGTGAGGAAGCCAGCCATAACATAATTATCCAACCTTATACTTATAACATTTCCTAAATGGATCAGCTGGGATGAACCGACACTAACAATCATGGGAAGTAAGCTGGTATTGGATAAGATAACTCATTTGTCATCACTTATGACTGGCAGGAATGGCTTGTACATGCCAGTCTAAGAGGGAAGGAATTTGGCTCAAAACACGCACGTCTCGGGCAAACCGGTCTACTCAGCGTGCTTGAATTAATGGCCCTTGGTATGTCAGTCTCCGTGTGTAGACTCTGACCTGGTCTTTGTCCACCAGGAACCGAATATCAACCACTGATTAATTTCATACAAACGGCAGAGTGGTCCGCTCATGGAAAAGTTTAGTGCAGCATCACAAATCACTTAGCGGCAGCCTGATGTTACCAAAAGGATGTCATGCTTAATTTTCACAGCCCTAAAAATTTAGTTTCAATAATTTTTGAATTACAAAAGAGGTTATCAAACCTTGTTAAATACCCTGTTATTATCCCCGCTATTCCATTATTTTAAAAGCATATCTAGAACAAACCACTTTAAGATTCACCATTTATGATTTTGAAATAAAAACTGCTGCTGCTGCAATTTCTACTACAATATAGCTTTTATCTTTGTTCTGTTTAGTTATCTTTCCTGGACAGAGATGGATACTTGATTCAAGGGACTTGATCCAGATCTGTAGCCACTGGGTATTTTTGGTGGTGGTGGGGGGGGCAAGCCTATCTCACAGGGAGAACATCATAAAGGTGCCCTTAACAGAAGAGTTGCATATAAATGATAGGCTCTGGAAGATTTAAAATACCTAACCTGTCACTTTAATGATCTTTGTCAATCTCTCTCTTTTTTCAACCCTGAAAAACTTCCTGTACTGGTTCTACATAACCAGAAGGTTACATGAAATTAGCTTGCAGTCGTTAAAGAAAATACCGCTGATCTCAAGGAAACAGAAAACGTATATATAACAGTTGGATAATTTGTTGCTACTGAAATACCATTCTAATGAAGTACATGATGAAGAATTAGGATGGTGGGAAATTGAAGCATGCTTTGTTACACAACTAAGCAAAGAACGGCTGGCTCGGAAGGAAAGCGGTAACTCAAAGTCACGAACTGTGACCAAATATCTCAGGGCAAACCCAAGTCGCTATTTAAAGAGACTTTATTATTCGCAGAATGTGAAAAGCACCAGATGTATCCCTTGGAATATGGATACAATTGAATACAATCCAACATTATTTCATGCCACATCATTTGAAGAGGAGAGAAAATAACAATAAACAACATACATATATCCTGGAAGCCAATAAATGGAAATATGGTGTTGTGCCTAGATGTATACGTCAATTTACAAAGTAAGTCAGCTCTCAGTTTGCTGTTAGAAAACACAAACTCTTCTCAACATTATTTTGGGACACTGGTAGCAAGAACCATGTTGTGGGATATGTACATTCTGCATATTTTGGTGCATCTCTTTACAGAACTATCCATCAATAATTCAAGCAACCAATGTGCATGGTTACATAGTATAAATTATATAAATTAAATTAACATCCCTTCTCTGCCGGGTGTCTTGAGACGGCATGGTTCGGAGATTAAATAGAAACTTCAGAGCAGAGAACCACAAAGTATTGGTTCCAGAGCTTCAGACAGTATGGTGTAAATGCTGGGAAAGAGAGCCTCGAAGTATATTTCTCTGGGCCCATGCCTAAGCCCCTTGAGGGACATTATGCATAAAGATGAAGGGGAAGGAGTTCTTCCATATCTGTGTCTCTTGCACATTCATTAAGCCTCTGAAAGAGCTTACAGAAACTACCTCCCCTCCACGCCACCTTAGGCAGAGCCTTACAGAAAAATCTGGAGGTGGTGATAAATTCTAGTAAAGCCAGAGGCCGAAGTCCTGTCTGGCAAATAAAAACTAGCCTCAGTGTCTGATAAGTTTAGTTAAGACACCGGTTGGAAGAAAAAAAGATTCTTAACGATATTGAAAAGGGCCAGCTCTTCAATAAGGAAATACCTCCCGATTTCCATCAGAAATAAGGAGCTTGCTCCATAATACCTGAAGAAAATGAGTAAAAACTGTGGCTGGGCAGTGCATCATGCAGCAATGCGGTAATGAAGAAAAGGTACTCATGATGGAGTTGATGGGATGAGGTTAATTTGACAAGACAAGATGAGGGTTAGGACTCCGGTGGTGGTGGGGGGACACACACACGGCTGTTCTCTTGCATCACTCGAAATGCGTCACCTCCTTTCATGCACCCCACGGTATAAAAACAAAGGTCTGACCCCTTATCTTTGTGCAATAATCCATTATATCAGATTAAACCTTTTTTTTCATATTTGTGATTTCACATTGGTCAAAATACTCTGCAGCAAAGTGTTCCTGTTCTGCTGTTTCCAATATGAAGTAGCCAACAGTAAAGCAAATGCAAAGTGCTGAATTCCAAAAATGATAATTCACTCTCTCCCTTTCCTTTCTGGCTTATCAGGAGGGGTGGCTGTCATGTATACTGGGGTCTTGCCGGGGGGGGGGGCAGTGAGAAGAAAGATGGAGTTGCCAAGTTGAAACCTGGAGATCCCCCCTGTTCCCCTTTAAATCTATGGAACTGGGTGCGGCAGTCATGGTTTCTCCCACTCGTTTCCCTTCCTTTTTTCTTTCCAGCACACCTGAAGTCCTGCCACTACCACAGGGGCAGGAGGGACGTGGGAAAGTTCTGGGAGAAAACCAGGCAGATGAGGTCAGGTTACCTGACCTCATCTCCTTTTTCAGCAGGTCTGTCCCCGCATCTGTTTATCCTGGGACAAGAGTGGGGCGAAACCAGGGTGACCTCAATGTAATGTGGAAACAAAAAATGTTGTCGTTGTTGTATAGTCGCACAGTCGAGTCCGACTTTTCGCGACCCCATGGACCACATCACGCCAGGCCCTCCTGTCTTCAATAATCCTCCGGAGTTCGCTTAATTTCATGTTTGCTGCATCGATAACACTGTCTAACCATCTCATCCTTTGCCGTTCCCGTCTTCTTTGACCTTCAGTCTTTCCCAGCCTCAGGGTCTTCTCCAGTGAGTGCTCCCTTCTCACCTGGTGGCCAAAGTATTTGAGCTTCAGTATCTAGCCTTCCAGGGAACAGTCAGGGTTGATTTCTTTTAGGACTGACTGATTTGATCTCCTTGCAGTCCAGGGGACTCTCAAGAGTCTATTGAGATATATGTCGGAGTGATAGAGGTAGCAAGCAGTTACTATAGATCAGTTTGATCTGTTTGTCAGACCTAGCTGTCATGCTAGTAATCATGTAATTACAGCCAGGTGTTTTCTAGCAGGTGTTGCTCTTTCAGGGCATGTTAGAGTTAGTGATTACATCACCCTGTTAGAGATTGGCTGGGGTTTAGCATAATAGCTATCAGTTTAGTAAGCTAGAGGGGACTCAGTTCTCCTAGACTAAGGCACGACATGCTGTTCAATAGCCTGTAAATATCTCTGTGTATATTCACCTTTATAACTATATAAACTCTCTGTGCACCTTCATAACTGGTCAGTCTCCCGCTTCTTATTTACAACACCCAGTAGAGTCTTCTCCAGCACCATAATTCAAAGGAATCTATTCTTCGTGTAGAATGTAAGTTTAGAGACAGGGCTGAACCAGGATTTAAGGACTAGTGCAGAATCACGCACAGCAAAATCCAGTTGGAAAGTGCACTGAAAGTGGATTGAAAGTGGATTATTCAGTGTGTGGGACCGCAGCCTCTGGGTTGCTTACTGACAGCACAAATCAGGGCACCCCACTGGCTAGATGTTGCTTGTTGATGCAACCCAAATGCTTGTTAAATAGCAATAATAAAATGTAATTCAGGCTTGTAGCCTGATGGAGGTAGGGAAATATATCAAATACTTCCTGCAGTGATAGGAGCTGAGGGCATGAGGACTACTTCCTGGAGAAGGTCCCCCCCCCCCGTTTGTATATGCATTATATGTATGCAAGAATTCTAGCAATTAACCATTGGCAAGAACTGAATGTCTAGCTAAGGATATGGTTGAGCTTTGCATTTGTTATAAGACAATGAGATCCAGAAAAACTGCATTCACTTGGGACCCAATGGCTGTTCAGGAATAAGTCATTTTCTCAGACTCCCTGGCAGGGCTGTTGTGTGAGCATGAATGAAGCAAAGACATAATGTTATCTGACCTGAACCTGGTGGGGTGCACACGACTACATAAATAAGAAAGCTAATAAATGTGGCCTAAGGGATCTTGTGTTTGTTTGGCTTTGCTTTATAGTGTAAACTCTGCCAGGTCGAGTCTGCTGGAGAGCATTTGCACCAGGGAAACCTTTGTTTTTAACCCATTCCATGTGCATCTTAGGGCCTTTACAGACAATAAATCCTAGCTGCTGAAGAGCACCCCGATGTCTTGCTCTGACACAGCCCTTGCTGAACAGAGAAGTCACATTTTCACAGCGCTCAGACCGCAATACGCCATTCCTAGGAAAATGTCATTTCCCTTCAGCGGTGAAACAAGCGATGTCCCTTTCTCTCCCCTCGTGCCAATTTATAAAATATCAAAAATGTCTTACTTTTGCTTATAGTGTTAAAAGAATCCTCAGAGACCAGACATTCTCCCACCGTAGTACTTAAAAACATGGGAGGGCCCGTGCAACGGATAGAGGGAGAGATCTGCGACAACCCAGCATCATTTTGCAACCTATTTTTTCCTGCCTTTGCACGGTGCGCCCCCAGCATATTCCCTGTCCCGCTAGTACCAGTGCAGGGCTCAATAATATACCAGTCGCCATTTGGAATTCCATGGCTACCTAGTACTTAGCAAGGTGGGAATGACTGGTTGGTTATGTAAGAAGCAAGAGGTTTTTTTGGAACTCTTTTCAGATTGGCTGCGAAAAGCTTCTCTTTTGCCTGCTTCACCAGGGAGTTAGGGTTGCCAGCTATGAACTGGGAAATACCTGGCGGTTTTGGGGGGGCGGAGCCTGAGGGCTCTGTGTCAGAACTGTGTTACACAAAAAAAAAAAGAATAACGGGCGTCATCTGTAAAGGCCCTGGGATTGCACATCCAAATGGAACCGTTGCAACTGCAACGTTGCCCTCGAGTACAAGTCTTGCGGCGTCACAGCGGGATAGCGTTACCTGTGATGTCTTTAATCACTGCGTTGGCTCCAGCCATTTCTGGAGTCACAGATGAATGAACACTGGCCACTAAGTCTCCTATAATGCCGTGCAGGGCAGCAAAATTCTCTAGGTTGAACAGGTGCGTATCGAGGGGTTCGCTCGCTATTTCCTTTAATTCCCCTTCCACTGCATCCTGAACTCCAATGGCAAACATGTTGACATCGGCATATTTAAGAACAGAGGATGGCAGGACCACGTCATCCTGGGATCGTCCGTCCGTTAAGACTATAATAATCTGGGGGACTCCGTCACTCGCTCTGCTCCCAGCAACTTTAGTGAGGTGGTTCTGAATTAGGAACTCTAATCCTTCTCCAGTCTTGGTTCCTCCCCCTATATAGGTCATGTGCGAGATATGGGAGAGGATATCTTGCATACTGTCATACGTGTTTAACTGGAACTCGGTATGTGGGTATCCGCTGAACTGGACCAGACCAAACCGAAAATCATTTCCACCCACATCTAATTGCTTTACAACATCATACAGAAACTCCCGAACAAGTTGGAAATGTTCCTTTCCAATGCTCCAAGAGGAATCCACTAGAAATATTATATCAGCAGCGGCACCGTTTTTGACATCTTTAAAAAAACACATCAGTTCATGATTTTTCCAGAGGTCAGTTGGGGTGTGTGTGTGAAATAGTCTCGCGCAATTATTTTCAGCCATGCCCAAATCTGAAATCATCCTCAATAGGGAACCCAATGAGCCCTTCAAACCGTAGCAAGGAGAAGGAAAGAAAACTCACTCTGACTTGCCGTGGCTGATAATCGGATGGTATCATTTTATAGCTGGTTCATACACCTTGTGAATCTAGAACTGTCCTGTTTTCTGGATGTGGTATGGTCCAGAAAGATCCCCTCTGCTATGTAGATGTGCAAGCCAAGGGCATTGTCAACTTGTCCCCCAAAGACCTCATGACCTACAAATTGTACTTGAAACCTCAGAAGGAGAGCGCTGACCGCTTCAGCTACTTGTTGACTCTCCTGTTTGCAATTCTGAATACTGAAGCACCTCTACTTACATGGTATCACGGCCCAAGCCAAAGACTTGTTGAATCAGCAAATAATTCTGTGCTTCAGAACCGTCCATCCATTACAATGTTGAAGAACAGGACACTGTACCAATGGTATATAGCAGGGATTCCCAATCTTTCTGAACCTGTGGGCACCGTTGAAATTTTGACACTGTGTGGTGGGCCCAGCCACAAAATGGCTGCTGCAAAAGGCAAAGCCAGCCACAAGATGGATCTCACGGCTTAGCTTCAGTCAGACAGTGAAGATCTTTGTGCTGCCAAAGCAATGTTTTTAAAAATCAGCATAGCCAATCAAATCTCCAATGGCCAATCAGAAGTCTTACTGGGCAGAAACCCTACCTGGCCCTGCCCACTTTTTAAAAGCACTTGGTGTCAATGGGCACCATGCAGCCCACGCACATCACATTGGGGATTCCTGATATATAGAAATATGGTGTCAGCACTATATGCCAATAATCTGTGCAAACATGTATGTAAATGAGAAAAATCAGCTTATTCTTTGGTGCTACAGTGATTAAAATGAAGGTCAAAGGCGGCTCGCTTTATTAACAATATCCACATATATCCCCGTGCTATCTTTGCTTACCAAGAGAGATGTACTTTGTCTTCGAGAAAGCATGCATGGCAAATCAGGGAGCGGACACTGTACCCGAGGCAGCTACTGACTTCACCAAGATCTTCCTCCCGTCAATAAACCTTTCATGACATTACATTCAGTCCCCATGGCCATGTCAATATAGCATAAGGCAGACAGATATAAAACTCTCTGCAACTGGTTATGACGGGCCTCATACACATTTTTCTGCACAACTTCCAAAGGCAAGAGCAGGATGTGTTGTGATTTCTAAAACTTTTAAATGAGCTAAAGATGTGAGGGGGCAGAGATACATACCAAGTTTGGTCTGGGCGTCAGCGATGTCCCAACAGCCTGAGAGTAAAAGGCAAAAGATTGCTGCAAAGGGTAAATGTCGATGTTTCCACATTTTCTTTGGTTGGTGGGCTGGCTAGTTTTGCAAAGCACCAGTTTTGAGATCTGAAAAGAGAAGATAGGGTCAGAGAAATTCCCGTCCCTACTGAAATAAAAAAAAGAGAACTTTGCTGAATGAATTCACT